CAAAGAGTGAAAAATTTAAGGGGGTCTGAATACTTTCCGTACCCACTGTATATATGTCATGTGCCTCCACCTATGGTGAAGTAATGCATTAGCCTTGACATTTAAATCAAGAACTGCATTTTTAAGGTAAGACACCCCAGATGAATAGGGTGAGAAAAAAAATAATAAATAACTGATAGATGTCACCATACTTCCCCAGCTGATTGATTACATTAAGAACTGCAAACATTGATTGTATTGCACATTTTCTGAAATGTTATGTTTAAATGCATTTGAACATCGGATAAATTCCAGAGGGGATTATGGATTTCTCTTTTTATCACTCCATAAATCAGAAAATACTGTGAAATACACATTTTCACCATGTCTTTAGGAATAAAATCAGGTGAATTATATATGATCAAACCCTGTGAGAAAACGGCATTTCAAATATATGTATTATATATTATATATGTATTATATTTGAATACCACAGACACCAATAGATAAAGTGCATTAAATAAACACTTAAAGGTGTATTTTGTATGTTATGACATAAAAGACGAGCTATGAAAAGCCAAATATCTCAATTTGTGACCAGTGCATGAAAAAAAACATTCTTTTGCTGTAATGTGAAAACATCACAATAATCCACACCACTCCAGTCCATCAATTAACGTCTAGTGAAGAGAAAAGTTGTGTGTTTGTAAGAAACAAATCCATCATCAAGACGTTTTTAACTCGAATACGAGTCCATAATCCATAATAACGCTTCCTCCAGTGAAAAAGTCCATCTCCTGTTGTCTCTCACATTAAAATCCAGCCACATGTTTGTTTAGAGCCGTTTCGGCTTTCTTGACCTGTGCAGATTTCTCTCCTGATTCAGACCGCTTTTTCACTGGAGGTAGCGCTATTATGGATTATGGACTCGTATTTTAGTTAAAAACGTCTTAATGCTGGATTTGTTTCAGCTTTTGTCTTCTCCAGATGTTAACTGATGGACTGGAGTGCTGTGGATTACTTGTGGATTATTGTGATGTTTTTATCAGCTGTTTGGACTCTCATTCTGACGGCACCCATTCACTGCAGAGCAAGTGATGCAATGCTACATTTCTCCAAATCTGATGAAGACACAAACTCATCTACCTTAGGGTGAGCACATTTACAGGACATTTTCATTTAACTATTCTGTTAAAGAAAGTCACAGACCTTGAGCAGTATCGATGAGGGCAGCTGGTTAATGTGGGGCGTGTCTGTACTTTCAGCGCTCTTTGCCTCCTCCGAGCTCTCGTTTTGGGACAGCTGACAGCAGCAGGAGGAGGAAGAGGAGGTTGCGGCGGAGCCCGCGTCTGTATGCCGCCCCGCGCCGGAGCCGTCCTCCTCTGAAGGAGAGGAAGAAGAGGAGGATGAAGGCAGCGAAGGGAGGAGGCACCGGCTGTCTCCTCGCTCCTCTCCATTCTCCATGGCCTCCTGGAAGGCACAGCGAGGCTGCTTGCGGGGCGTACACCGCTGCAGCTCAGCACACTTGCGCTTGCACACCATTTCCGAATAGTCCGCGGCACAGAACAGCGCCGGGGGCCCTATCAGCTTGGAGAGCAGACTCCGACCCTGGCCCTCCCAAATGGCCAGCTCTCCCGGAGAGAGGAGGAACTTGGCGCACTCCTCGGGCGAGTTCAGTGACACGTAGCGTTCGGCGAGTTTGGAAGCCGCTGCCACCGCGCTCTCGAAGGGCCAGTCGTCCTCGACGCTCCCGCTGGTGCCGTGCACGATGAAGCACAGCATGCAGGGACCCTGAAGGAAGCAGTTCCTCCTCCTCTTCTTCTTGCGCAGCTTCCGTGATTTCTTCTTCTTCTTCAGGCTGTAACCATTTTTTGAGAGAAAATGGCCCATATAGATGATTCACGGTGACTCTGGGGAACGAGAGAGCAAATTACAAACAGAAAATGAGACCGTATACAAGCAGTAAAAACCGCTTGGTTGATTAGTTTACTTCATTTTTGTTACATAAAACAAATCAAATAGCAACGGAACTGTAAAAGATCTGCTACTAGTGCAACATGACATTCAGACATAAGTGTATATATCAAAAATATATTTATATATTTATCCCACAACTTAATTTGCTGCATCATTATAGTAAATCGTGGCCAGGTAGGACTAATTTGATTTAATTACAACATGGCCACGATTTACTAAAACAAGGGAACGAATTAACACAACATCACCTCAATTTATTAAAACAAGGGAACAAAGTAACACAACATGGCCTTGATTTACTAAAATGAGGGAAGAAATTAGTACAACATGGCCAGAATTTACTAAAACAAGGGAATGAATTAGCTACTAAAGCAAAGACATGGTTTACTAAAATAAGAGAAGAAATTAGTAACACATGGCCACGGTTTACTAAAATGAGGGAATGAACTATTAAAGCAAGGCCACTGTTTACTAAAACAAGGGAACAAATTAACAACATCACCTCAATTTATTAAAAAAAGGAACAAATTTGTATAACATGGATTTGTATAACATGGCCTTGTTTTATTAAAATGAGGGAAATAATTACTAAACCGAGGCCACGGTTTACTAAAACGAGCGAACAAATTTAGAAACGAGGGAATGAATTAGTGCAACGTTGCCACGATTTACTAAATCAAGGGAACCAATTAGTACAATATGCACAATATACAATATTAAAAACTTGGTCGCACTTTATATTAAGTGGCCTTAACTAGGGCTGAACGATTAATTGCATTTTGCGATGAAAACGCGATTTTTCAATCGCAGAGGCTGTGATTACACTCGGTCACGTGACATGCGAGAGTAAAGAGGTGTCTTTGACATCAAAGTACGGCGAGAGAAAGCATAAGGAGACGTCCGCTCTCTTATAGCTCTCGCAGTGCTTTGATGACACACCCATCGGTCTAAGCAGCGCTGCTTCAAGTCGAGCGCGGGCCATCAGCAGAAAAATAAAAAAAATAAAACAGTAAACAGCCAAAGGACGTAACTTAGAATGGGAGATGGATCGGTTTGTGAAAGGTAAGAGAAAAGCCATAGATGAAGTCGCACAGACCCAGGCAGGTGCTGGTCATTCAAAAGCTAAATGCTGAAAATATGACGAGCATATCTTGCTCTCGGCTTCACTCACTGTGTCTAAGTTATACCGGCCACTACAGTTGTGCGTCGCACCGCAACAGCTCTACACTGTACGCGACAAAGCGACCGTTGCAAATCATTTTAACTTATTAAAGAGATTATAACATAATTTAGAAATGCCACATGAATATGTGAGGAGTAAGCTGAACAGTAAAACTTCCCAGTGCTGTTAGACTGTATATCGCACACTTAGAATGCCACTCATGTATATATCACATATCACACACACACACTAACTCAGTGGTTCTCAAAGTGTGGGGCGCGCCCGCCAGGGGGGGCGCACGAGTATTGCAGGGGTGGGGGCACGGGTCATCAGCAGAAAAAGAAAATAAATAAAACGGTAAACAGCCAAAGGACGTAACTTAGAATGGGAGATGGATCAGTTTGTGAAAGGGAAGAGAAAAGCCATAGATGAAGTCGCACAGACCCAGGCAGGTGCTGGTCATTCAAAAGCTAAATGCTGAAAATATGACGAGCATATCTTGCTCTCGGCTTCACTCACTGTGTCTAAGTTATACCGGCCACTACAGTTGTGCGTCGCACCGCAACAGCTCTACACTGTACGCGACAAAGCGACCGTTGCAAATCATTTTAACTTCGTGTCAGTACGTCATAAATAGAACAAGGCATCAGTTTAATGTCGCGCCGCATCCAGTGTACACAGCGTCACTGATTATAATGGTTCTACTGTATTTTGCCGCTCGCG